TATGAATTTTGTTTGGATTTATCATTGTCACACGTACTGAGATACAGTGAAAAGTATTGTTTCGCACGCTACTCAGGCAGATCATACTATACACGAGTACAACAGGGTACTAGAACAGAACTTGGATGTAGATTTAATGTTGCCACATGTTTATAAATACAGTGTAAAGTGTTTCACATGTTAATTGCAGTATTGCCACACTCCAGCACCACCTTGGATCACTGATTATATTGCATGATATTACTACAACAGCCTTGTATTTTTGGTTCAACAATTTATCTTTGCCATTTTCTCAATCGGCTTCTCCTTCGCTATTCCTCCAGTCACTGCTGCTTAACATCAGCTGCTGGGGTCTTGGTTCAGGGCTCCTCCTCCTCTACCAAAGCAGGAGCCAGCCACTGGCCTGGGGATGCACAGGGCCTGGCTTCTTACAGGAGGACATCAGAAGGCAGTCCAGAGCAATTAGAGGGGGAGAAACAGCAGATAGCCAAAGTGAAATGGAGCCATTGAGGAATGGGAGGTTTCATCGACATGGAGTAGGCCACCAGACCCAAATTAGAAGCCCTTGGTCTCTCATTTGCAGCAAATGGAAAAACAGCTGCAGGCCTTAGGCAGCAAAAATCCACAATCATTGCTAAATGTACAGTGTTACAGCTACAGAGAAGGTGGAGAGCGCGCGCGAGCACGAAGAGCTTTAGTATTTATGAGGTCCATTCAAAAAAATCTGATAAACAGCAGGGAAGAAGCTGTTCTCAAACTTTTGTATCTTCTGCCTGATGGAAGAGGGTGGAAGAGAGTATAACAGAGGTGGAAGGGATCTGCAATTACACTGGTTGCTTTCCCCAAGGCCATGGAAAGTATAGACAAACTCAATGGATGGAAGACTGGTTTGCGTGATGGATTGGGCTGTGTTCTCAACTCTTTGTAATTTCGTGCTGCCTTGGGTACAGCAGTTGCCATACAAAGCTATGATGCACCTATAAAAAAAATTAAGTGTCATTTTGGACATTCCAAATTTCCTTAACCTTCCAAGGAAAAAAAGGTGTTGGTGTGCTTTTTTAATCATAGCGTCAGCATGTATGGACCAGGATAGATTGTTGGTGATTGTTACTCCCAGAAACTTGAGAATCATGATCAACTTCATCTCAACATCATTGATACAGACAGAGGTGTGTCTGCCGCTCCACTTCCTGAAGTCGATGACCAGCTCCTTCATTTCGCTGACATTGATCGAGACATTACTGTCTTTATACAATGCCACTAAGCACTCTTTTTCCTCTATTCTGTTGCGTTGTTGTTTGAGATCTGACCCTTATGGTGGTGTGGTCAGCAAATTTGTAAGTAGAGTTCAAGCAGAATTACACCAATTCTGAACTTTTATGTATAATGGAGAAGTTTGCATTCGTGGAGCGAAAGAGAGAGAGAGAATTAAACCGGACGGTATAGGAGCAGAATTAGGCCATTTGTTCCATTGAGCCTCCTCCGCCATTCAATCATGGCTGCTACGGTTCTCAACCTAATTCTACTTTCTCCCCGTCATCTTTGATCCATCTCTATCTCAATACACTCAATGGCCTGGACTCCACACATTTCTGCAATGAGTTCCACAGATTCACCACCTTCTCGCTGAAAAAAATTCCTCCTTATCTCAGTTCTAAAAGTGTCACTCCTTCACTGAGGTTGCCCTCAGGTCTTAGCCTTCCCTGCAGTGGAAACATCTTCTCCACATCCACTGCATCCAGGCCGCTCAATCTCCTGTAAGTTGTAATCAGATTCCTCCCTCCTTCTTCTGAACTCCCATCGAATACGGACCCAGAGTCCTCAACTGCTCCTCTTATGAGGAGCTCTTCACCCCCATCATTCTTGTAAACCTCCTCCAGACCTCCACCAAGGCGCAACAGATCCTTCCTTAGATGTGGGGCCCAAAAGTGCTAATAAAATATTCCAAATGCAGTCTGACCAGAGCATTATGCAGCTTTAGCAATACATCCCTGCTCTTGCATTCTAGCCTTCTTGAAAGGAAGGCAAATGCAATTTTAGCATTCATAACTACCAACTGCACCAGAATGTTACTCTTGAGAATCCTGAACTAGGACTCCCAGGTCCCTTTGTGCTTCAGATTTCCAAAGCCTTTTTCCCATTTATAAAATAGTCTACATTTCTACTTTTCCTACCCCCAAAGGGCATAACCTCACACTTTCCCCAATGTATTCCTTCTGCCACTTCTTTGCCCAATCTTCTCACCTGTCTATGCCCTTTTGCAGCCTCCCTTCCTCCTGAATGCTACTTGTCCCTCTACCCACTTTTTTGTAATCTGCAAACATAACAAAAATGCCCTCAGTTTTTTCATCCTGATCAACAATGTATGACATGAATAATTGTAGCTCCAACACTGACCCCTCTGGTAGCCTCTGACTACCATCCTGAAATATACTTAAATACTCAGACTATTAAAGCAACAAGTTCCAAAGATTCACCATCTGACTGAAGAAATTCCTCCTCATCCCTTTATTCCCTAACTCTGCCTTCAGCCAGTCAATCTTGTATCCATACCAGTATCTTGCCACTCATACCATGGCATGCCTTCTCTTTAACCAAGCCGTGCTGACTCAGGTGGAAACATTCTTGATGCAGCCAAATAGCAGAAGTGTGCCATATAAGCTAATCTGATGTACTCCTTTGACTGAGGCATTAAACAGAGGCCTTATCAGTTCAGTGGTTTAGATTAGTATTTCCACAGTATCATTCAAAGTTAGCCCCGATTAAGATTAAGTTTCTAAATCAAAGCAACCAGGAACACCAATAATTCAAACTCAACTACATACACTTGGGTGCTGGACGATAAATACAAGCCTAAAGCTAATTTTTAAATTTATTCATTTGTGGGATGTGGGCATGCTGGCTGACTAGCATTTATTGCCCGTCCCTAGATGCCCTTGAGAAAGTGGTGGTGAGCTGCCTTCTTGAACTACTGCAGTGCACCTGCTGTGGGTTGACCCACAATGCCCTTCGGGAGGGATTTCCAGGATTTTGACCCAGTGATAATGAAGGAATGGCAATATATTGCCGAGTCAGAATGGTGCATGGCTTGGAGAGGAACTTGAAGGTGGTGGTGTTCCCATGTCTGCTGCCCTTCTTTTAAATATAAATGGCTATGGGTTTGGAAGGTGCAGTCTGAGAATGTTTGGTGAATTTCCGCAGTGCATCTTGTAGATAGTAGCAGCAGTGTATACTGAGTGTCAGTGGTGAAGGGAGTGGATGTTTGTGAACGTGGTGCCAATTAAACAGGCTGCTTTGTCCTGGATGGTGTCACGCGTCCTGAGTGTCGTTGGGGCTGCACTCATCCAAGCAAGTGGGGAGAATCCCATTACACTCCTGAGTTATGTCTTGTAGATGGTGGACAGGCTTTGGGGAGTCAGCTGGCGTTGCTCACTGCAGTGTTCCTAGCCTCTGACCTGCTCTTGTCGCCAGTGTTCATGTAGTGAGTCGAGTTGAGTTGAGTTTCTGGTCAATGATAACCCCCAGGATTTTGATTTTGGGGACCTCACCACTGAATGTCACAGGGCGCTGGTTAGATTGCCTCTTATTGGTGATGGTCATAACCTAGTATTTGTGTTACTTGCTACATGCCAGCTCAAGCCTCAATATTGTCCAGTTCTTGTTACATTTGGATAAGGACTGCTTCAGTATCTGAGGAGTTGCAAACGGTGCTGAACATTGTGCAATCATCACTGAATATCCCCACTTCTGATCTTACGATGGAGGGAAGGTCATCGATGAAACAGTCGAAGATGGTCGAACTTAGGGCATTACTCTGAGGAACTCCTGCAGAGATGCCCTGGAGCTGAGACAACTGACCTCCAACAAACCACGACCATTTTCTTTTGACAGGTATGACTAGCACCGGAGAGTTTGCCCCCGAAACCCATTGGTTCCAGTTTTGCCAGGGCTCGATGCCAGAATGTCAAATGTAGGCTTGAGCTCAGGGGTTGACACTCTCACCTCACTGCTTTTGTCCATGTTTGACAGCATTGTTGATGACACCTTCTATCAGTTTACTGATGATCGAGACTAGACTGATGTGGCGGTAATTGGCTAGGTTGGATTTTTTATGTACAAGACAGACGAGCAATTTTCCACATTTCCAATACTGGCATCTACTTGACAGTCTACTGGAACAGCTTGGCTAGGGCAAGTTCTGGAGCACAGTACTTTTGCGGAATGTTGTCAGGGCCTGTAGCCTTTACAGTACCCAGTGTCTCCAACTTTTCCAAACTATAGACTGCCAATATTTACTACAGAGCTCACAGAGCAAGCAAGACCACATAAAATTAGGATATTACACAAATTACCACATCAGGATGCAAGCAAAATAAAGGAGAAACCTAGAAGCAAATAGTCACTTGAAACATAGAAATTCCTGGAACACTCCAATGGTCAAAACCGGGACATCAAAACAGGATGCCAAAAATACTTTTCCATAAATAAGTAATACTGTTCACAAGTTTTACGAAACCAAAAAGTACACAACTGCCAAGTACTGAGAATTGCTGAAAACAAGTATTCTATACAAGTCCACTACTGACAAATCACTTATATACATTTGTCAAATGCAACTTATGAACCACTGTATTTGACCACATTAAGCAATGTTTTCTCTAAAATACAGACTCAAATATTTGAGGCTTGAACAGCACATCTCCTAACCTGAACAACTTCTGCATCTTAAAATTTGTGACATACATACTTGAAGCTTGAAAATAATTTACACCTCTAATGTTACAGAACTAACCATGGATGACATAAATCCATGTGTAAGAAACAGTGGGGCTACTTCAGCCACTCACAGTCAAGTTGTGAAATTCGGCAAATGGAACAAGTTGCTCTGCTTGGACAGGTTTCAGATTTGTAAATGTGTAATGCGATCACAATTTGAAAACAAACAAGAATTAAATAATCAATTGTAAAACTAATCGTTGGCAAATGAACAGCCTACTTACAGGAACAATAAGTCCTTGCCAATAGAATACATTTGTTTCATCCACTAGGATATTACGGAAATTCTTCATTCCAGATGAGCGGATTTCAGCAAGTTCCTATGAACAAATAAAATGACAGGTAAAAAACAAAATCAGTGTTACAGCAGAATTCCTTACCCTGTGCCAGAGTGCAGTTACCAATTTTCAGAGTAAATAGCATTAAAAAAATACAAATGCTGCACAAGTATCTAAAATGTACTTTAATAACCACCATTGTTGCCATCAGAAATGCAATCATATGCTCTTCAGAACTACAACAAAATATACTTGAATTGAAATGGTCCAGAAATTGAGTGTTTCACAGGCTTTCAGTTTACATCTAGCAATTCTTGAATACAACTCAAATTATAATGGGAATAGATTGACATTTTATATTTTTTTTAAAACAAGAAAATTACTCAAACATGGAAAATAACTCAAATCCAAGAGATTTAAGGGGTGACCTGATTGCAGTGTTCAAGCTTATGAACAGCAAATGGAAGATAATGGTACAATAGTTTTCACTGGTTAGCAAGATATCAACAAGACGACAAAAATAAGGTTATAAAATTATTTGCAGGGCAGTTAAAATATAGAACTCTGTTGCAGATGCTACCTAGAATCCATTAATTTGTTAAAAAGGGAATTAATGTTGCTTAAAAGAAGGAATATTAAAAGAAAAAGTAGCACATATGAAATGTGATTAATTAGATGGCTCATGCAGAAAAGCAAGCATAAACTTGGGAGCCAAACAGTGTTTCCATGCTGGAATGTTTTGATTCTTTATACAAGGTAAAACAGTTTTTTTTAAAAATGAATACATGACATACCTGGGACCCATTATTTGCTTTTCCTCTCCTTTCAACACAGTGACAATGCCAGTGCTACCTGGTTTTTACCACTTTTCACAAAATAAAAATCTCGAATTCATTTAGAGAAAATGGCACTCCTAATAATGGGAGCAGTGATATGCCTGCAGCTGTTTAGAAAGCCATATTATGAAATCAAAGGCAAAGGCTGAAGTGCCACACATTGACAATCATTGATTTAGGAGGTCCATCAAAATGCAGAAAGCAATAAAAACAACAAACTTAAGTGTATTGTTCAGTAGAGTGAAAGTCTGAAGTAGCCGCATTTAGTCAGGCCAACTTCCAAATCATAATCAGTCCACAGGCACAAAAGATATCTCCACATTCAGGAGGCACTACAGAGAAAGACAAAGCTGATCCCTAACAAGAGAGCTTTTAAGTTACAAAGAAAGAAAGGTTAGAAAAATTCACACTCCCCAATGTTGAAAATATGCCTTACTGAAAATAAGTTTATGAAATGGTACATAGAAGTTAATTCTATGGCACTATTTCAAGTTAGATGGTGATAGGGACTAATAAAAAGCTAAGTAAGGTTTGATATTAGCAAACATTTCTTTGCAGATTAATAATCAAAATAATCACAAGACAGCATAAGGAAGGTTAAAACTGAAATCATTCAAGAAGCAATTAAATGGTTGCTAGTTTTTTTACAGAAAGATGGATTAAGAAAGACAAACTGATTCTATCATAATATTCAACAAGAAAACTTGGATTCAATATAAAATAATTGTAAAGAATTTTGTCTCTTAATTTTCCATATTTTTAAAAGAATGTGGTGCATTATAAAGATGGACAACCCACAAAGATGGAACAGTAGCACACTTTTCCACATGTTGTCCATTCCTTAAAAGCGAGCGTGAAGACCATTTAACTCCAGATTCATCATTTGCCAAAGGCCAAGATGGGGCTTTGTATACATACATTTCAAAATGTAATGGATTTTATTTTTCCTCATTACTCCCAGTGGACTGGATTTTTGATCGGAGAACGCTGCAATTATCCATCAAGGCACCTCATGAAATTTTTGCTTAAAAACTGTTCAATCTACAAACATACCAACGAAGAGCATAAGGAGGGAATTTAGCTTTATCTCACCTGCAAATTTAGATAATAGGCACTTTGTTTCGTGCCCCTAAGTCATTGATGAAACTTGTAAATATCTGAGTCATCAGCACACATCCTTGCAGGAACACATCCTGCCAATTAAAAAAGTAACCGTTTATGTATACCTTTTTCTGCCAGCCAATCTTCTACCCATGCTAATGTTAGACCACTACAGCATAAGCTCCTTACTTTAAGAAATAAAGTGTGCGCGTGACACTATCAACTGTCTTCTGGAAATCTAAATAGATTATATCTAGGAGGCTCCTCTCTATGCACACTGCATGTTACTCCTTCAAAGTAAATCAATTAAATCAGATAATTATGATTTCCTTTACAAAAAACTATGTTCACTCATCCTGATGACCTAGTGTTTGTTTAACTGCCCAGCTAAAACCTCCTTAATAATCTTTTCCAACACTTAACCCACATGTCAAGATAACTAGCCTATAGTTTCTTGCTTCCCTCCCTTCTTAAATAAAAGGCAATATTTGCTACTTTCCAGTCCAAATAAACCCTCCCAAAAATCTAGCAAAGTCTGGAAAACTGACAGCAACAAAACAAGAAGGCAGATTACCACCTGAATGGCTATAAATTGGGAGGGGGGGGGGGGGGGGGGGGGGTGGGGGGGGGAGGAGGCAACTGGATGAGTATATAAATAGAAAGGGTTTGGAGGACTATTGTCCAAATGCTGGCAAATGGGATTAAGTCAGATTGGGTGTTGGGTCAGCGCAGGTAAATTGGACCAAAGGGTCTGTTTCCATGCTGTCTCACCCTTCCACCTCATGGTTTAACTTTATTATTCAAATATTTTTGTATCCTCCATAGTGAGATCAGAATTCTTTCTGAATTTCTTTGTAACTTTGTTACCAACATTTTTAACTGCAGCAAAATGGCTCTGTTGGTATGAAGTAACAATAATTTACTGGCTGGCAAACGTAAGACTTAAACAATTTCACCTCCACCTATTTGTTGTCTGAGTGAAGGTGGACTTTAACTTATACATGGTGATCAGTTTGCTCATCTTCTTGTACCATGCTAAATGCAAGGAACTTTGAACCTCATCAAATATGTAAATAAACTGAAAGTCCTGCATTGGAAGGTAGAGGTGGGGTGGTACACCCTTTGAGCTATTAATATTTCATAAACAGAGCAGCTCTTCACAACCTGATTCTCAGCACAAATCAATTCTGAACTAACAGTGAAAGCAAGAGATGCAAGTAGAATGGAAGGTCGTATTTTTATAGGCCAAACAGTGGCAATGCCCTGGAACCTGCTTTTTAAGCTTAGTTATTCACAACATTAGGTCATTGGGAAAGGTAAACAACCGGACACTGGATTGAAATAAACTTACAGGATTATGGGAATACAGTGAAGGACGAGGCTTGACTGGACTGCTCTGAAGAGAGATGGAACTGATGGACCAAATGGCCTACCTTCGGTTAAATGTCTCTGTGAATAACTATCCAGTCTCCTAGTGGTTTCATCCAAGAGCTCATACTCTAGAATGCACTACCACACAAACAGCTACAGTACTTGCAGCTGAAATTTGACAATGATTTAAAATGTAATCAAGCCAGATATACAAATAGTGCATGGGACAAAATGTCTAATCAGACAAGCAAGCTAAGTTAATGACTTGTGTGACAAGTGGACAACGGTCAACATGAGTTACAATTCAGCATTGGTAGTTCTGTGTTCTGTTTAGACTACACTTTGGTCAAGTAAAATTCATGTGTAATTGAGACCCACGCTGATGGACAAATTGTAATCTGCAAATGTCACAGTTTTCATGTCATCCCTCTCAATGCTGACTGTCAATTATAGAAGTTACTTTCAACAGGCAACAGAATACACAACGCAAATCAAACCACACAAAAACATCAGAATCTTTCATTGTGTCAGCACTGCAAATACACATCACAAATGCAGGATACAGGCCCTTCACCCTATAATGCTAGATTCCCTTACTAATTAAATAGTGGTCTACTTCAGCCTTGAATATACTTGCAGTTTTAGCAAAACGTCCTGACATTTATATCACATTCTCTTTTGAAATAAAAGCCAATATTCCTTTGCTTTTATCAGCTGCTAAACTTATGATTCATGCACGAGGTCTTCCAAATGTCTCTGCGCTGTAGATTTCTCCATTTAAATAATATTGTGCCGCATTCCTTCTGCCAAAATGCATACACTCATATTCCATCTACCAAATTTCTGCCCATTCTTAAACTATCTATATGCCCCCCCCCCGCCACCCCCTCATCACTTGCCCTCCCACCTAATTTGGGTCATTGGCAAACTTATCTCTAGTACATTCACTTCCCTCATTCAAGTTAGTACATATTCTAAATAATTGTGGCCCCAGCACCAACCACTGCGACACTCCACTGACCACAGACTGCCATCCTGTTAATGTCCTCCTTATCTCAACTCGCCTTCTATTGTTAGCCAAATCTCTAAACACGCTAGCATACTATCTCTCAACACCATGGGGCACTTATCTTAAGTAGCCTATGTAATACCTTATCAAACACTTCTGAAAATCCAAATGTATTACATCCACCGCTTCCTTTTATCTATCCTGCTCATTGTCTCCTCAAATAATTCTTGTAAAATGTGTCAGACATGATTTCCCCTGCATGAAATTATACTGACTCTGCTTGATATTATATACTTCTAAATCCTCTGCTATTATGTCCTCTATAGTAGACTCCAACACTTTCCAAAAACAGGCATTAGGTTAACTAGCACTACAGTTACCTATTTTTTAATCTCCTTCCGTTTTTTAAACTGAAAGAGGTCACCAGAATCTAAAGACTCCTGCTCTACCATTTTTTTTAAAAACACAATTGAATTGCACAGACAACTTTGAGCTGTCAAAACAGGAGCCAAGCACATGGTGGAAGCAGTCATACTAGACCGGTTCCTTTCCGGGTTCTCTCTGGCCTTCAGTTTGTGTGTAACAGACTCTGGAAATCCAAAATATTTTGCTTTTATTTATGCAGCTGACATGCTAACCTATTAGATTCTTCATCTCATACTCATGAATGGGATAGTTATACCTTTGGCAGGTTTTTATGATTTAAGTTTGCTGGACAGTTTGAT